GCTCGTACTTCAAAGTGCAAAGAGTGACAAGCTTGTGTCATAGAGGGTTTCCTAGCAAAAGTAGGTAGCGGAAAAACTTAATTGGTGGACGTTAGGTTAGAGTCTATCAACCGATCGGGATAAAGGCTAGTCTTTCAAAAGATACAAAAGTTTTACGATTGCAAATTGGAGATATTCAGTGCTAACCAACAAAATTTTGAGTTTGTCACAGTACTGTAGTAAAGTACTCTCAACAAATTGATCCTACTTGCTTGTCATTGAAAATTGTTGACAATACGCAATTAATTCGGTATTCCTGCTGAGCAGGCATGAGGCTGTCAGCAATGCGATTTATAAAGTCGTTCCATATGTTTTGACATTAGAGTAAGAAACATCAATTTTGATAACCAGAAACGGTTGAAATTACATAAGTCGGTATCGTTCAATTGCGCATTTTCTTGTGAATATTTTGGTACACAACTTGCCCATATTTGCTGTAAGATTGAGCTGTCTTGTAAATAAATTCGCTTGCCACTCACCCACGAATGGAACGTAGGAGAAAATGCTAGTGAAGCAGCGCTCAAGATTAATGAAACATCCTATAGACGGCCCGAGCGCGACTGATCTTTGAGATTATTCTTTTCAGCTTTGAACTTCCTGAACCACCTCTAAGCCGTCCTTTCTGCAACCGAATCGTCACTTTAAGCTCACTTAATTAATCTCTCGCGTCGCTTTATTAACATTTTCATCGATGCGCCATTCGTCTATGAGTAGCAAACGAATTTGTTTCCAGGAAAGTTCCATTTCAAAGCAAGTATAGACAGTTCGTAAATCAAAATGTTCTCAAGAATATACACAGTTTAACGATTCCAAAACCGTGCAGTTTTAATTACTTCTGGTAGATAAATTTGATGTTTAACTCTGTTGCATCATAACTTATGGAACGACCTAATATTTTGCACACTACAAGGCAATATTGGTAGCCGACATTTCAGCTGTTTCACCTCCGACAGAGATGTTTTATTGTTTTACGGTTCACCAGATGATGTAGACAGTAAAGCAACAAAACGGCTTTGAAGAAGACAACACCGCTGAAACGTCATCTATGATTATTTTTTTGTGTTATGCAAAACAAATCGTATTGCTGACAACGTCGCGTCCACTAATCATTAATAGTAAAGGTTGATAAAACCATTTGTATAATACTTTCACCTGAATGATGCTGTATGTCGCTGAATGAAGCAGTGTCAAGGAGTAGTACAATAGCAGAACAATCTGCAAGCAAAGCGCTGAACATCTTTTAGCGGATTGCATACAAAAAATAATTCAGTAGTCTTGTTTCTTTCTATTACTTTGATGGACTTACAAAGACAATAAAGATGTTATACACCACCACAGCTGTAATGCTTTCCGAATTAAGTTTGGCCTATATGAGATACATTTTCTTTGCATTCCGACTGCATGCCGGTAAAATTGAGAAACTTGAAAAAGTGCACCTTAATGCTCCGATGAAACGTAGAACCAAAAATGTATTTAATCTGCACGTAAAGCAATAGTGGAAGTGAGGCCATTGAGAGAATTGTGTAGAACACTTGAACAACTCGAAATCCAGGATATTCTGCCAAATTCAGTCCGTTCTGAGATTAAGCGGTGTTTTCGATTAACTGACTTGAAAAAATGGACAAAATGGAGAAAATGGAAGATTGTACTACCTGTCTGCATTCTAGTTCGATAGTTGTCTCATTAGGTGTCATATGTCGCTAGCTAGTCACGGCAAAAAGAAAAATAAACTGAAAAACTGCCTTATTATCGGCGAGTTAAGGAGCTATTAGTAGTCTGATGAGAAGTACGAGATCGAAAACAATAAATAAAACACCATTCAGCTTGCTCTTTGTAGAAAATTGTCTGTTAAGGAAAATCTCAGCAGTTTAACTGTGTCAAATTGGAAATGTTGAACATTTTTTGATTTACACACCTTAAAATACACATACGAAGAGCATTGCCACGGCATTATGATGTTTAAGCCGTGGGAATCTTATGATGCCAAAATGAATTGGATTTCCAGCGATTATGTGATGATCAAAAAGGCAATATGGACATAATTCAAGACTGATACCTCACACAGGGTTCTTCACTGACTATACAAAATGAAGGAAAGCACCATGATAGCTTGAAAGCTAGCAAATCGCAATTTGGAAAAGATCAGAACTGACATGAAGAAAGTAAGACTGTATAAAAATAATGTTGTTTTTTTTGAAAATAGTTCCTGTGCCGTAGTCATTCGAAAAAACGCAATATCAACAAATTTGGAATTATCAACTGATTCCTGGCATACAAGTTGTTATCGCTAATATCATCCTTCAGATGCGAAAGTAAGATATATTTACGAACCATGAGAGGTCGACTGTTGGTCACGGCAGTGTCAGAAAATTTTATCACCTGACATGCGATGATTTTGTGAATAATTTGGCGTCAATTTCCTTTATTCGTAAGGTATTTCCCCTTCAAACGATTAGCTGAATCGAAAGACACCGTGGTGCTGATGAGGCTGTGATGTCAAAAAACGTGTCTAGCACTGTGGAAGTGCTATTACAACACTCAGGCACTGCTCAAGATATGTTATCAGAGTAGCTACTATAGATTTTTTTAAAAAATTACGATGGTTGATGCTTCTGTGATTTTGTCTCATCTGAGCTTATTCCTCTTTGAAGAATGAAAGCCTCGCCTGTCACAATGTATAAGCTACATACGGATGGTGTTCCTCATTGGACAACATGGCGGTTGCGAAGAAGACGAAGTTGTCAAAACTCAATCGACTTATTTTGCGAAGTAATAAGATCCATGAGCTAGCTTGACGGTGAGACATACCTCTCGAGACATAAATTTCCTAATAACTATTGTGAAGAGGACGATGTCAAGTAGTTAGTAAGCTTTCATCGCGAAGTTCTGAGGCAACCATGTATTGACACTACATCATTCAACATTGGTTTGTAAGAATGTTTTAGCCTATCCAAAGCTGATACATCGTGTTCTGTGTCTAACTCGTTTACGCGCATTTTGGCGATACCGCCGTCATTAGAGCCACTAGCGCTATATAAAAGAGATGGAGCGTCATTCAACATTTATTTGCAATCATATTAAAAGTTCTTAGATTCTCAGCGTCAAGATTGCAAGAACATTCAAGTCGGACTGGTACTCTATGATCTCATGAAGAAGACAACCTCAGCAAAGACCACAAGTACAGGCGAAATGTTCAAGGACCTCTGGGATGATGAGCCAGGAAGCGAATCTAATGCTAGAAGTGCTGTGTTATTCACATTAGAAAGGTATATCTGGTTATGTTAAATGGATAACAACCAAATTCAATTGGACAGGTGGTATTTGAAACTCAAGCTGTTGAAGAGTCAGCATTATGTTATATAAATATATATATATATATATATATATATATATATATATAGATAGATAGATAGATAGATAAATATATGTAACCAGATTACACATGTAGAATTATTGAAAAGGTTGATGCAAAAGTAATGGCGGTTTCACACCGTAAATTTTATGTCACTATAACGAGGCTTTTTCGGAGATTGTTGTTCCATTGAGTGTGAATGGAGCATTCAAAACCCATTTGGAAACGACTGTCACCGAATGCTCTAGCTATGTCTATTTAGGTCGTGAAATCGACATGATGAACGACCTAGCTCCACAGTTGAGCAGGAGGAAACGAGCGGCTTGGGGAATGTTTGAGAGCATCGAAGATGTAGTGAAGAAGACAAAGAACATCCGACTCCGTGCCCACATTTCGACTTGACGATTATCTCCGCCCTAACGTATGCAGCAAAAAGGTGGTCGCTACGTAAGCCGGATGAAAGATCACTTGGCGTTATTGAACGCGGAGTCGAAAGATCGACGCTAGGAGTATCCCGTATCTCGCAAATGAGAGAAAAGGATTCGAAGTTGCGGCCTACGTCAAAGATCGGAGATCAGAGACGTCGTTCTACACACCAGAATATCAAAAATACCGTGGGCCGGACACGTGATGCGCTTCAACGACAACCGATGGACGAGAGCCGTTACCGACTAGACATCAAGCGCTCTACAGAAAGACCATCGACCCGTTGGTCCGATTTCTTCTCAAAAGGTATAGAAGAAGACATGATGCTCAGCGAATCTCTAAAGCCAGAAGGACCTACTGAGCTACTCTTGCATGCGATAGGGAAAATAGAGGTGTTGCTAATACCCGCTCAAGTCACTCGACTCAATAGGATGACAGGTGATACAGGTGACAGGTGATAACGAGGCCTAAACAGGTCGCCTAACCAAATCAAGAACCATTACACCCAGTACATATTTGCCAGGAAGGAAAAGTTTATTTGCATCTGAGGCATGAAAACTGATGCCTTGGAATTCAGCCAACTCTTGAACACCATTTCCTGCATCCTGCTGGTTGTAAAGCGTTTTACCTACAAGAATTTGTCGAGATGCTTGAAGAGGTACTAGTTGGCGAGCAAGAGGCCCAGTTAATGTGGAAGATGAGGCAATACTTTGCAGCTTGATTCGTTCATCTTTTGCAACTCTCGTTGTGCCATATGTGACTGTCGGATAACAGTAATTGAAGCGCAGTTACTTTTGCGCCGGTCGTTTACATGTTTCCAGTTTGATTCAGTTGTACAATGACCATAAAATGATCGAAGTTAAGTTTTTCTTTAACATTTTGTATAGTCTTACGAGGATCGGCTTTAGTGATTGCTCCTAATAAGTTATTGCTCTTGAATCATCAAAGTTATACATTTTATCTAGAGTTTCTTCGAAAACGGAGAAAAATATTCTAAATTAAATAACAAAAATTGCACACCACATGTGTAACGCGCCATCGCGATCGATCGATTACCACACGGAGTCCACGTCGAGTACATATGCTAGCCAACAAAAAAGTGCGCTGCGTATGTGAAGTTCAGTCATATTTTATCTGATACAATTCAGTGGAACGTCAAAGAATTGAGTGGTGAGCAAAAACGCGGCCTCAGACGGAAATCAAACCAGCGTTTCGTCCTATCCGGGGACGCGTGCTACCACTGCACCACCAAGTTGCTTTTGCGCCACCACTTATTCTTCAACATCGAATCGTTTTCATCAACATTGTTCATCTCACCCGACTAAAACTATTGAAGGTTGGTGGCTGATAGATAATATAGAGATGTTGAAGAATGAGTGGTGGCGCAAATGTACCTCGGTGGTGTAGTGGTAGCACACGTCCTTGGTATGGATGAAACGCGGGTTCGATTCCCGCCTGAGACCGTGGATTTGCTCACCCCTCAATCCTCTTCGGTGTATACGAAACATCTTAACACTGAGAAAAACGCAGTTAAAAAGTAGAAATTTTGAGTATATATGATATATAATATGTATACAATATATATGATATATATAATATATATATATATAATACATATTGTAGTAACATACTATATAATATGTAATATAACTATAATATAAATGTAATATATAATATGTGTATGTAATATATACTTATATAGTATATCTATATCTATATATATATATATATATATATATATATAAAATGGACATTATATATATAACTAAGAGAATTGAGTGGTGAACAAAAACACGGCCTCAGGCGGGAATCGAACCCACGTTTCATCCTATCCGGGGATGCATGCTCTACCACTACACCACTGAGACACATTTGCCCGACCACTCATTCTTCAACATCTCAATGTTAGCTATCAGCCACCAACCTTTGGCAGGTTTGGTCGGGTATGCGATTTCGCTTTATAAACCCAGTTGAGATGATAGCTATTCTATTTACTAATACTTCGAAATTATAGTATTTTCACTGCCTTTTTCGCAGTGTTATTACGATACTTATTTAACTAAGAGAATTGAGTGGTGAACAAAAACACGGCCTCAGGCGGGAATCGAACCCACGTTTCATCCTGTCCGGGGACGCGTGCTCTACCACTATATATATATATATATATATATATATATATATATATATATATAATATGCTTTTTATATAATGTATATAGTACATATAATATATGGTATATATAATATATATAAGGTAGGAGAAAAGTTCTGCCAATTTTTTCACTATGTCAACAGTAGAAAAAATACTGTATAAACAAATAAATATCATCAACTGAAGGTAGAATTACGTTCATTACGTCAACAAGCATAACAATAATCAAAAAAGGCTTTGATATATCCTCACAGTTGTTTCTTTTAGCCTTCATACATTTAGGAAGTCGCTTGCGAAAATTTCCAACGATGCTCACACACGTTCCCAACGTAATCTCGTCCCAGCAGCGTTTTAAAGTCCTCTCAGAAGCGTCTACGGTAGTGTTGCGAGTAGTCTAGACTTTTGCCACCAGTATGGACCACACAGAGTAATCGATTGGGTTGAGATCCGACAAGTTTGACGACCAAATGGCCATGCCTCATAAGACTGGAGCCAGCTCTTGATAGATGGCAATCGTTGAGCGTGCGGAATGCGCAGGAGCTCAGTCCTGCTGAATGTTACTCTGTTAGCTTCAAGGTGTCGAGTACTCTTAGGCTCCAGAATTTCTCCGTAGAATTCGATGCTGGGTGGCTGGAGGCGTTGATTTTCACGTTTCTGTTGACGGAGACGAACAGCGTCTTTTCGGTGGCGCAAATGACGGCCCAGATCATGGTAGTGGCTGGAAAATGACTGCGGCCTATGCTACTGCGGACTTTTGCTGACGCTTATTGATAAAGTGTGGTCGATTTTGGCGACTGTCTAGTGCTTCTAATTGAATATTTTCTCATCGTGAAAAGCACCTTCGCCAAGTGAGCACCAGCCATCAAACAAATCATTTTTTGAGTCTTTGAATGCCTTTTTTCTTTCATCTTTTTATCCAGAACAAGAGATCTTGCAATTGCACAGCTTCAGCTTATTTGTTGACAATGTTTAGGACACTTCAATCTCTGATCCCGGCTTCCCGAGCCATTTTTCGCATGACACTCCGCATTTCGATGAATTTGGCAACGGCTCTTCTGAATGTTTTCCCGAAAAGACAGGTTGGTTGGACAACTTTTCGAAGGCTGCCCTTAAGCCTTTAATCTCTTGAAAATATTTTATGGTTTTGTAAAACTTGCTCGTTTGAAATCAGTCGATTTTAACAATTTCGGCCGTTTTCATTCCCGTCTTGAGTTACCCAGCTGCTGCGATAAGTTCAATTTTACGATTCATATCTTAAGTACGCCTGAAAATAGATAAATTAATAATCCAGGAAGCAGACAAAAACTGCACGAAGAATACAATAAAGCTCTCAGAATTGATAAAAAAAACTTTATATCAATGCTAAAATTAACACAATACAAAATCAACAAAACTTTCTCCTCACCCTGCATATAGAAATAGCAGATTATCTTTGGTATTTGCAGAACACTCCGGGTTACTGTAACTCCCCAACTTACATACAACGCTAATCTCATTGATAGGCGTTCTGTTTACTGCAGAGAACCATTGAAGCACCACAATCATGGGAGGGGGGGGGGGATGAATACATTAGAGATTGTAATTTAGCCAAGCATATATGTGCGTGGACTTCGTTGAGTCTGTCTCATCTATGTTTTATATAATTGTTACATAGCATACAAATGGCAGGTATGCTGCCATTTTAGATCATTGGCGTGCTTCAATCTTTGTTCTGTACGCAAACTCAAACTTTCTTCGAATGGAACAAAGTTTAACATTCACCACAGCGTGCACATTCTTCCACCATAGAACAGGTTTATCTAATCTTTATATGAAAATTTCCACTTGAGAAGCACTACGGGGTTCTTCTGTGGTTCATCAACTAAGCTAATCGCTTTCAATTATTATAGTGGTCTATTCCTGTTCTTAAAGACATTGCAGCCGAGAATCGTTTTCGCTACGCAGATGAATAGCTTACTATACCTCATAACGGCGATTTATATGACTGGTTTTTAATTTTCAGCATTTATTTATCGAGCTTGCTCAATTTGCGAGTATTTCAATGTTCTAAAACTTTGTGTAGTGGTGAATTCACGACGAACTGATTGAAAGAAAAGACACCGTGAAACTGACGAGGCTGTGAAGCCGAAACACGTGTCTTGCACTGTATAAGCGCTCATAACAGATCTCCTGAAAGGTTCAAAATACATTGCCAGATTACAGTGCTTCTAAACTATTTATATAGTTCCACTGAGTTTCTCTCTAATTAACAAAGAGGCCTGCATATAAGTGCATGCATTTGTTTTAACCAAAATCTTCAATATTTGTCGTCAACAGTGCAATCACATATTTGACTTCACTCATCCTCGAGGTTGATTCCGCCACGGCAAAAATTTGCAATTCAATCTCTCCATCATATACATTCATGATATCTCTAAATCTTCCTTATATAACTGCATATCCTGTGTATTCTAAAATCCTCCCTAACCATATGTCCTTTACATTTTATTCCGTTTCCTAGACATTGCATTCTTTTCGATAGACAGTTGAATTGGTAGAATTAACTGATTCAATATCTGGTTAGCAAAAAGCCTGGTAAACAACTTAATTTGCAATCTCGCATAATTAGATAACAGGCAAGCGAATGAAAGGGACTTTAAAATACTATGATATACAGAAATTGCATTTAAAGAAAACATTGCACGAGCATGAACAAGGAAAACTATGTTACAAATCCAGACTGATTTCCAAGCAACCTACATTTACATGAAAGACAGATAGCGTTCTCTTCGTTCCAGATCAGTCGGAGTTTTGTATTTGCTGACTAAAATCCTCCACAACCATATACCATTTATATTTCATCTCAATTCCTAGACATTGCATTCTTATTAATCACAGCTAAGTTGATAGGATTAATTGATTCAGTATGTTGTTTCCTAGCACAAAGCCTTGTAAACAACTTGATTTGTAATCTAGCATAAGTAGATAACAGGTAAGCGAATAAAAGGGAATTTAAATTGCTATAGCATATAGAAAACATTACATGAGCATCAACAAATAAACTATATTGCAAATACAAAACTGATTTCCAAACAGCATACATTTACATGACCGACAGACAGCCTTCTCTTTCTTTCAGATCAAGCGGATTTTTGTATTTGCTGACTTAGCTATCAATGTTTCAATCGTCATCACATCTCTAGGTCACTTCAAACGCAAAGCATCAATCACGACTTTTGTTAAAAGTGATCGGTACAGTCACAATTTTTCTGGTCGACAATTACTATTGCTGGTATTCACGCCTTGAGATAGTTTTTCTTCGCATGAAGAAGTTTTGATTTGAAACCATGAATGTAGTAAGTGGAGTGTAAAAATCGAGCGAAACCAGTTTTTCCGACAGACATATAGTCAGTATCATTTACGACTTCATTTGAAATCATACAAAGCACGTGGCTATCCACAGATCTTAGATCTCACAGCCTCTGTGAGATGCTCACAATAAAAGAATCATTTATCATCCATTAAGAAAGACTTCTTTCTCTCTTAATGCCTAGACATTGATCTTTGTTGAAAGGATGAAGTTGCCTGTACTGATGGATGCAATGCATCGGTTGCATCAAGTATTGCAGACGTGATTGAATGCGTGTTTGGTCCATACAATAAGTTGCGGCAGACTACTCATGTGACACATATGTGAATGGGGTATGCTGGAGATGTGGGTACGGTAGTCGGTAATCATCGGAAAACGAATCCTATTCTGATACTTAACACCAACATCAAAAGTGAGCTAGAGCGACTTTCCGGATTCTTGGATGACCATGAGTGATTCTTGGATGATCAGGAGTCGTTGTAGCCTTTGCTCATCTTTTCTCTCCTTCTTTCCCTCTCAATAACGCTCTACAGCTATGATCTGCTTCAAAATGAAGTATAGCAGTATAATTCGTGATTTGCAAACTGCATATGATGCATGTTCTAATAAATGATGGATAGTTTTCCTATTGTAACCAAACGTTTGAAAACCTTAGCATTGTCACGTTCTTAGATCTCACTCCACGCATGACTTTTTTACTTGTGTTTTTCAATATGTAATTTATTTGTCTTTGGGAACGAGAAATTCTTTAAAGG